GTATCTCCAATACTCCAATCAAGAAACGAACCAAGAATTAATCATTCAGTAGAATTTCTTTTTAGGTTTGCAGTTTGCACGATAGGGGAAACATTCATGGCAAACCAGGCCCGCTTGTGTGCCACTTGTCCACAAAAAGGGAAAAAAAATCAATACCCAAGATTAGTGAATATCAATGTTATTAAGTCCAATACTTGGACACTGACTAGTTGAAGCTACTAGATCATTTAATTAGATGGCTACCGATGAGAATATAAAGTCCTTGTATGTATATTTTGCAACAAGTTAAATAGTAACAAAAAAGGGTAAAATGATGAGCTATTAACTTTAATAGATAGAGATATCAAGTTCAATCCCTGTAATTAAGCTATCATTTTTTTCTTTTTTTTTTAATCGTATCAATGTTTTACCTACTAGCTCAACCAATTGAATCCCATTATGCGTCTCTTGCATGTCCGGTCTTTGGCTTCAACCTGAACTGATTATCTGGCCAAGTCATAAGCTTTTTGGTCGTGACCAGCTGTTCGGCCGGTCCGACTTGAAACACTGGTCAATATAGTCAAAAAGATGGAGTTCCGAAATTGATTGAGGAGTATCCTGTGAGAGGTTACATATTGCTATAGAAAGAGCTGACATTAATTAACACTTGGCAGACATAAAGCATCAAATCATGCATTCAGCCAAAGAAATGAAAGACAAATCATTCAGTTCTCAGACTCTGCTTCTTCCCGAAGAATGTGTCAACATCATCTGTCTCCGGGGCAAAGCTCCAATATTACAGTATATACAATGAGGGAGCTGTACTATCAAGAGGAGGATTATACATTGATAAAAGCTAAGGAGATGAGAGTTGTAAGGAAATGAATTAGAACAGATATATCCATTAAAGATAGTGTGCATACTATTTTAAATGGAATGATCTCAAGTATAGGAACATAATTAGTCACAGTGTTTTCAAGATTTGAAGCTATAATATAGAACACCTAAAGTAGCATCGAACTTGAAGGTCTAGTTGACGAGTAATAAAACAATCCATACGAGCCAAACAAGTGTATCGGGTTTTGTAAATTAAAATTATCTGATTAAGTGGTGTATATATTATATGATTGGTTTTGTTAAAATAAAACAGATCCAGAAAATAATTTCTAAAATTTATTAAAAGAAAAAAACCGTCACTGCAATCCCCTGTTCTATTGCAGCTCTAACTTAGTGATAGCGAAATCCACAAAAACTATCAAACTAACCTTGTCTATATAAAGCCAGTTTTTCAGAAATAAAAACCACTTGTAAGCTCAAGCACTTCAAACCCTTCCAGCACACATACCACAGAGAGAAATATGGCAATCTTTTCCAAGTCACTAACCAAAACCGACATTGAGAAAAGGTTGTCTTTTCCAACCAAGTGTCTCAGGTCCTTGCCATGCTTTGGGAGAGGCCATGCAGTGGATTTTCACGTAATGGATGAGTGTGGGCAAGTCTGGACTTTCCGCTGCACCATTCGCAAGAAGAACGATCCGAAACCTGTTATCTCTAGGGATTGGAGCAAATTTGTTTCCAGCAAACATCTCGATGTCGGTGATAAAATCACTTTCTCTAAGCTTGAAAATAAAGTTGGCTGTGCTTTTTACAAGATTGAAGTGAAGAAGCCGGTCAAGCTATTCGGGGTAAATGTGGGTTATTAATTCCATTACCGGTCATCTGTCTAAATTAAATATAAACCTTTGTTCGAGAATCCTTTCTGGTTTTACACCCACCTATATGTGTGTAAGTGTGTGTGTGGATAAAGTTTGCTGTAAATTATGGAAGTCTATAATCTTAAGCTATTTTCCATCATCTTGGATCTTCTTTAATCATTTTTTTTTTCATTTAGTTGTTCGTGCATGGAAATATGTCTGTTTATACACGGCTCCGTATCATTATGATCTGATTGGTTTGTATTTTTGCTTTTAGAACGATAATTTGCTGTTGTCTTGGACATTAGAAATACCTTTAACCCAACATTCAAGTTACCTTTTATTGTTTAGTCAATGAAAATCCTTCGTTTTATAATATAATCTTTCGTTTATAAAGAAACATACTTTTTCTTAACAAAGATGAATGGTTGTATTTCAGTCAATTTGAAAAATAATAAATGTTGTTCAAAGTGGATGACTGAAACAATTACCATGTACGTATTAGGCAGTAAGAATTTCTACTTCCTTAGACAGCAAGAAATTATTATTCTTGCTTTTCTATTTGTACAGGGTAGGCCTTCGTTGGGGTGCTGTTTTTCTATTTATTTATTTATGATTTTACGATGCTTATACTACAATAAGAGGACTAATATTTGATCTAAGGTTGCATGGTGTCAATAAACCTTTCCTATTCCATTAATAATATCTTTATGCTTAATTAATATCTTTTCCAAATATATATATATATATATATATATATATATATATATCTCCTCATTTTAAGGGAACTAAAGTTTGATCCAACGATGGAAAAAGCAGTGCCTTTTTTATTTTCCTTCTGAGTTGTTCATGTATAGGTCCAGATCTTCATTGTAAAATAAGAGTTTCTTACTGCATAGATCTATAAATTACTTTTTATATTTTATTTGGTTTTCTTATAACCCAGCCAATGTGGAATATAGTATCGCATACAGAAGAAACTCATACTGAAATATCGCTAAGTTAGGAGCCAGAGCCTTTTATGAATTCTTATATAGTGTATAATTAATAAAATTTTGAATTTAATTGTAATAATTCATCATACTAGATGAATCCTAATATTTTCATAAATAATTATTTATTATTTATATCAAATCTATATAAAATATTGATGATAATTAACATGTATTAATTAATTATATAAACTAAATAAATTTGTACATATTGGTTTAACTTAAATTTATTCAATCTATTTTAATAATACTATTAATTTATTATTAATTTTTTATATAAATTCAAATTTCTATATATTTACAGAAAATTTCAACTCAACAATAAAATCGATAAAATATAAAATTAACCTATTAAATAAGTTATTATCTATTTCATCACAAAACACCTAAGTCACAAATCCAAAATAAATTTCATTAATTTATAAATAAATACAACTTTACAAAATATCAAACAAACCCTAACATGTATAAATCATATATTCATACAATAAATTTATATGTAAAAATATTATAAAACAAATAAACACTCAAACAAAATACATATGCTATAAAAATATACAATAAAAATTTAAAATTTAAAATTGAGTTCAAATTTAAAAAAAAAAATTTTGCTTACTTAAAGCGAAAAATCCTCAATAAAATTTAATTCAAGACATAAATGCTAATAAATTAAGTAATGGGGCTATGGATTTATAGTGAAAGGTTAATTTATAATAAAAATTAGAGAGGGGTGTGTTGTTTATTGCAAAAAAAAAAAAAAATTAAAGAAAGAAGAACAAATAAGGGAGGGAAAAGATGGGTCACTCATTAAGTTATAATTAACTATTATATATGAATTTAAATGACGGATTTAAATCTATCAACAATTCTATTTGTAAATATGATATGTCATTGTATTTTTTGAATTTTTTTATAATAAAAATATTCAATTGTAAGATTTATAGTAATTACTGATAGAGAAATTTCATTACTGATATATATTGAGTAAATATTTTTATTAATATTTATTAGTGGTTGTAAGATTTATAGTAATTACTGATAGAGAAATTTCATTACTGTTTCTGTTTGTAATAGTGTAATAAACCGGAAAAAAAAAGATGTTGAAGTTCTGAATTAATCTGTCTGCTTTTTCAATCCAACATCGTTAACCAAATTAGGGTTTGGGGTAAATGTTGTATCAGTAGAGATATTCTGATTAGAGTCACTCAAGGAGTTAGAAATAGGAGTAGACATCATTGTTAGGGCAAAAAAGGTTGACAGAGGGATGGATTGACAAAGAGCATGAGAAATCTAGATCACATGATAAATTAGTATTTACTATTTACCTCTTTTTTAATTTAAAAAAATGGATTCAAGGCCTTTTAAATATAGAAAAAAAATATCTTATCACCAGTTGAGCTAAATGTTCATTAGTTATTTACTATTTACCTCATGGTAATTAGCAATGCAATGAATTTATTTATTGAATAACCAGGTGGCTTTTCATGGGAACGGTTTTTTCAGACAACTACTTGTAATTATTTACTATCCCCTTCCACTTACAATCATGACAAATTAATATTTATTATTTACCTTCTAGAAATTAGGAATGCGAAGGTGTCAACCCTCCTAATTAATATCCACTTCAAACTTGTACGTGTCAGATCTTCCCATAACAATTTTTTATTGCTTCTATTTTATTATACTATTAAAATTAAAATTAAAATGATAAAATAATTTAATTAACACAAAAATAAATACAAACATAAAAAAATTAGAATTCTTCTTAATTGATTTGTTTTAAAGTACTTGCTTTAATTTAAATACAAAAAACTTATATAGGTTAACATAAAAATATTATTTCACCCTTAATAAATAAAACAAAATAATTATACTATTTTACCATAAGATAGGATTTTAATTGAAATTCTATTAATATGGTGGAGTAAAATGCTCCTGAAGCTAGTGCACAACACGATAAATGAAATTAAGTCTTTAAATTTAAAACTTAGCAATAAAAATAATATTATGAAAAATGAGATTTAATGTAGTGACATAAATAATTTTGAATTCCTTAAGTTTAAAGTGTAATATTAACTCACTAGTCTATCAGTTTTTTGTACCAGAAACTATTTAATCTTCTTTCTTACTATCTCCCCATTTTTAAGCTCGTGCTCTCTATTTTTTCGTTTATATAATTTTTAATGCATTTCAAAATATAATTCTGATATTGTATTTTATTTGATACTCGTAATTTTATTTTGAAACTTTACTAAAAGAATATACCATATTGTTAAACATTTAAAAATGAAAATTAAATTTCATTTTTAGTTAAATCAGCGGGGTATTTCCGTAATTTAAAAAAAAAAGACGAACATTTTTTACTCGCTCTCGAAATTTCAAGGATACGAACGTCAACGAAGCAGAGAGGGAAAGAAAGGAGCGGGAACAGCCAGCAGGCTACACTTCCCTCGCTTTACTTGCTTCTAGTTTTCATTCAGAGCTTGCTTCTGGTAAATACTTTCCAAGCACCATAGTTTTCTTCTAGTCACTCGCTACTTCACATGCTTCTCTGATCTTTCTGTTTCTTTTCCTATCTTTCTTGCACACACCAAGTGTTTGTCGTTATTCGTACGTGAATGGTGTAGCGCTTTTTACCACTGTAATCTATTTCTTGAATCAATACTGGTAATTGGGTTTTGTATATAATGAATTTTTCGAGATATTTCATAATGGGAATGGGGTTTCAGTTTGATGTTTATGTTGTAATATCACTAGAAGCATAGCCTCTTGAAGTATACGTGTTCCTTTGTGGTTTTGTTTTCTTTAAGTGGAATATGTAATCTTTTTCATCATTGGGTTGCTGGAAATGTTCTCTTGAAGTATACGAGTTCCTTTGTGGTTTTGTTTTCTTTAAGTGGAATATGTAATCTTTTTCATCATTGGGTTGCTGGAAATGTTCTAGTTCTTGCATCCATGTCACTTTTTTGCGGGGATTCCGTTGCTGTTCCGCTTTCTTTTTGTTTTGTTTTAATATTCCTTTAGTGTGATATGGTTTCATTTTGCTTTGTTTGTGCTCGAAAAGATTTAGAAATTTCAGATGGTGAAGCTCTTGAAACTTTGAAGGTAGCATCATCACCTGGTAGTCTGATGGATGGATTGGATGGAAGCGATGCTATTTTACAACAAGAACAACAACAACAAAGCCTCAATCCCAAAGACTGGATTGCAGTTGGTAGTTTATTTTGATTTTAGTCTTGTGTCGTGTCCAACTTCTCCTAGGGTTGTTGTTAGTCCTAATACAGCCAAAAAAGATTTGTAATGCTGTGACAACGATTAGATGGTGATATACTTGGCTACAAAACGATTCTGCCGATTGATATTTTTGTACGCTAGACACTAGACTAGACACTTTGCAATTCATCTCGCAAGTGTGACCACGTGACTTTTCATGCACTACAGAAATGGTTTGCGGCGGTTGAAAGTTGCTTACCTTTGCTAAAGGCACATATCTGCTCATTTTAAATTTAATTATAAACTTCTATTTTAATATTTGGTTACTTAGAACTTAATGGAATGAAATGATCGCAGTTTTCTCTGTCTTTTGTGTTGTGTTATGTTATGTTATGTTATAGTTTAACATATAAACTTTGACCCCTGAACAATATATGTAAAATGTATCAGCTTCAGTTCAGTAAGTGCGGGATAATGGTTATTGGATCCCCTCTGCCTGTTTTCGTATTTTCTATGTGATTTAATTGAATGCAATCAGCTCACCACTTGCATCTTTTTGTGACTACAGATCCACAAAATGCCTGGGATCTGCTTCATGAAGAGAGGTCTTTGATGACACGCCTTACCACATCTTGTGCGGATTTGGATGACATCCTAGGTGGAGGAATAAGTTGCAAACAAGTTACAGAAATCGGTCTGTCATCATTTCCTCTTTTCTAAGTTAATGAAACTATTAGTTTGTGAATATATAAATTCTTTGAGCAATAATAGTTCCTGGATTTCTTGTTATCAGGGTTTTTTTTTCTAATTATTTGTTGTTTCCCATTCTTTATAGGTGGAGTACCAGGCATTGGTAAAACACAGCTGGGGTATGCGATTTTATCCTTTTGTTCTGTATTCTTTTTCATCTGCATATGCTCACTGCACCTTTGTTGGAGAAGCATGGTTTATATTTGAATTCACAGGATCCAACTTGCTGTCAATGTTCAAATGCCATCTTATTGTGGTGGCCTAGGAGGAAAGGCAATTTATATAGGTAGTTCATGATGTTGGTTGTATGTTTTATTGCTTTCGGAGCAGACCTTTTGTTATCTTTATGCTATTAATTTGTTGAAATTATGCCATGCTTAGATACAGAAGGTAGTTTTATGGGAGAGCGTGCTCAAGAAATTGCTGAAGCATGCGCAGAGGACATTTCAGAATATAAAAGGTTCTTACACAAGGATTTGCAAGCCTGCCAAGGTGAAATCCAGGGCAAGGATGTCCTACAAAACATATACTTTTTCCGCATCTGCAGTTATACAGAACAAATTGCCCTGATAAATTACTTGGAAGAGTTCATTTCAGATCACAAAGATGTAAGTGATGAAGTTAGATACAAGAAGTGTCTCAATTTGTTCTTGTCTGGTTTTCTTTTTCCATGGGATGCTGTAGCATGCTTCTGAACAGTTTTCCATCGCTATGTGTACTCCTTCTTATAATTGCTAATAGAGACACTTCTCTTTGGTTTAATAATTGACAACTAAATTTCCAATTCTCTTACTGTTTTTCCTTGCATGAACTAAAAGCTATAGGGCCAACTTATCATTTAGTGCATTACAATTGTTACCCCTTGATTGATTATCCAATTTTTTACCAGGTTAAGATTGTTATCATTGATAGTGTTGCTTTCCACTTCCGTCAAGGTTTTGAAGACCTGGCCCTCAGGACCCGAATACTTGGTGAAATGGCATTAAAGCTTGTGAAGCTTGCAAAAATGTGCAATTTAGCGGTAACAAATATGTGTTCATTATATCATGGATTTCTTTCTGTCTCCTCTTCCCCTTTCAGAATCTCAGATATGATATGGATATGCAGACAACAGTTGACAGAGTTAAGAAAAGTTTTTGGAACTGTGTTGATATCAGTATATCTTGAGCATGGTTACCACTTATCTCATCAGTATGATGTTGCATGTTTCCTTTAGGAAAAGAATAATGATGCCATTTATGCAGTTGTCATGCGACAGGACTTTGTCTTAAATTTGGCTTGTTCTTTATTATCCTTTTGTCACTGATTCAGGACCTTTTTACTCTTCAAGGTGGTTTTATTGAATCAAGTGACAACTAGGTACATGGAAGGTTCCTTCCAATTATCATTTTCATTGGGTAAGCTCAATCTCTACTGGCTCCCGACTTACTAAAATTCGTTCTTTGCATGGTTGCTGAAGTTATTGGCATGTCGTTTTTTGTTTTTCTATTGCTTTTCTAGTCCATTTCCCGTGTCACTTGGATCTCTTAACTTTGTTGTTTCATGATCCTGTGTAGGTGATAGCTGGTCACGTTGTTGCACTAATCGGATCATTTTGTACTGGAACAGAAATGAACGATATGCATACATTGACAAGTCACCTTACCTTAGACCAGCAGCAGCACCATATTCTGTGACTGCTAGAGGGATCCGAAATTCTGCTCCACACTGTAAACGTAGTAAGCTGGTTTAAAAATTTCACAAGGACATTGTACAGGCTGCAGTTTCATTTTCTTTATCAATCATATTTTTTTTTTTAAGGAAATGAACCAGAGGTTGCATAGTTCTATCTATTAAATTGTAAATGAAACTGAGTTTGGAAGTAGAATTCAGACGTGGTGAATTATTGTAATCTTGATTCCCTAATTTGTTTCATTCCAGCATCATATCATGAAACAAAAGCGGTTCTTATCAACTTAAGTCTGATTTTGATCACTGATTGGACTCGTTTCATTGAACTGCAACCTGGCTGCTTTAATTGGAGTTGTTCATAAATATTTTTTATTTAAAAATATATTAAAATAACTGTTTTTATTAATATTTTTTATATCAGTATATTAAAACATAAAAAACACAAATATTTAAAAATTAGAGAAAACACCAAAAAAAACTAAAAATTAGCAAAACACTATATGCTTTTAATATTACTGTTTTCTGCAGATAAGATTCTTTCAGGCTAACATTACTTGTGTTTGTTATCAATTGAGATTTTTCAATTCCTTAATGTCAACATTTTTAATTTGATTTTCACAAATGGCACCGCCATGAACATCGACAAGAGGGTGGGATAGCTCATGTTGGAGACTTTTACTGGTATTTTGACGTGATTGAACCAGCAGGATGATTGACAATGTGGGCAGATTAATCTAGCAAGCTCCCTTTGTAATTCCTTGCTAATATAAATTGCTCACCAAATTAAAGATTATGTGGCTGTTAACATTTGATTGGGAATTATCTGTATGGTAAAAGTTTAGTTTTAAAATGTTTTTTTAGAAATATATTAAAATAATTTTTTTTTATTTTTAACATTAATATATCAAAATAATTTTAAAATATTAATTTTAAATAAAACAATTAAATTTTAAACCAACAGTACTTTGACCACACTACATGCCTTCATAATCCTCTGCAGTCTAGCAGTGTTGAAGTTCATCCTTCTTTATTTTTACATTTTAAAAGTATTTTTTAAAATAAATAATTTTTTTTATTTTTTAAATTAATATATTTTTTTATTTTTAAATAATTTTAATTTACTAGTATTAAAAATAATTTTTAAAAAATAAAAAATATTATTTTAAAATAAAAAATATTTTAAAAATAATCATAACTACGATTTCTACCGGCACATAAAGCTTATCGAAAGAAATATAGATGCATTTATCATTTTGAAATTTAAGTTGAACTCCAGGTGTTTGCACCTAGAAATAAGAGGAATATAATATATGATGTAGTTGGTGGGCATGCAATTAGAAAGTATAGTAAATTATAACAACCATTAACCAATGAGGTTATACCACATTGGTGAGCATGCGGATCTGCTTATATATTAATCAAGATGATGGGCTGGCTTATGTTGAACGACAGGATTCTCAAACCTAATTTTGAACAAAATCTCAACGCAAAGCAATTTACTTGCGATCATCCACCGATTGCCAACAACCCACTGCCTTGCCTATTGTTTTTGGTACACCTACCCCGGCCTTGGCCATTGTGGGATTTATTTGATTTTTTCTTCATTTTAATATCGGAAAAGTTGTACCCCCAATCGTGTAAAGCAAAACAACCTCCAGCAGTTTAT